TGGAAGGTGCAACGAATGGTGTGGCGCGAAACAGGAGCTTTAGATACAGAATATGTGGGTCCGAATTCTGGTTCAGGATCTTTTACTAGTTCTGAGATGAGGGCCAAGTTACCCGATGTCTTAGAGTAGAAGGACAGTGGCTGTGAGGAGGCGCTAACATAAAGGTCCCCAGCACAGCACAGTGTCCCTCCTCTTCACAAAGGTGTTGTGGGTGTGTGCTCACTTCCACAGCCAATATACTAAAATTAGAAAGATACAGTGAAGATTAGCATGGCCCCTGGCCAAGGATCACATGAAAATTTGTGAAGCATTCCATGTTTTTATCCAATGTACTCAATACTTATAGGAAGCTAGTAGACTAATTAATACAGGCCCATGCAAGAGAAAAACAATTCAATTCAAGTTTGGGGAGGAGTGTGAAGGGGTTGGAGGAGGGAATGGGGAATGGGGAGAGGGCGAGGGGAGGAAGGAGGGAATTGGTTATGCCCCCATCTAATGGACACAATGTAAGGGTATAGGGCACATCTCCTGGGTACAGGACACAATTACAACAGGGACTTTACCTAACAAATGCCAACATTGTAACCTCATCATGTAAACCCTCATATTAATATGAAATTAAAAAAAAAAAACCCACAAAGGTATTGTGAGTGCAAAGGCTCTCGTTTCTTTCAGAGCCTTTAAATTTTTTGAGTCTGACCCCTTCTGCACTTTTTCAAGAAAAAAAAAAAAAGAAAAAGAAGGAAAGAATGAAAAAAAAAGTGTGCCTGGTTATGACTAAGATAACACACACTCCTTTTTTTCTTTTGAGACAGCGTCTCACTCTGTTTCCCAGACTGTAGTGCAATGAGGTGATCACAGCTCATTGCAGCCTCTAACTCCTGGGCTCAAAGGGATCCTCCTGCTTTAGCCTCTCAAGTAGCAGGGACTACAGGGGTGTGCTACCATGCCCAGCTAATTTAAAATAATTTTTTTGTAGAGACAGTATCTCGCTCTGCTGCCCAGGCTGATCTTAAACTCCTTCCCTTGAGCAATCCTCCAGCCTCAACTTCCCAAACTGCTGGTATGAGCGTCCACACCCAGCCTGATAGACATTATTGAACTGAACTCAACGCTTGGGACTTTAAGGAATTCAACTGAGTTTTGGTTTTGTTTCTGGAACACAACTCAGTAAAGTGATCTATGGACTGATGAATGTATCCCAAAAGAGGAAAAAGGGAGGGAGTTTCTAAATGGGGAAAAGCTGTGATGCCTTCCACACCTGCCCCTTTGTTCTTAGTCAGATAGCATCAAGGAATTACAACTCCTTAGTACAACTCATTAAGCTGTAAGTCCGTGTGCCCCATCACTGATCCATCCCCCGCCCAGGGGAACTGCACCAGGTGAGTCAGTCCCTCTGTGCGGGGAACAGTCCTCTCCCTTTCCTGCCTTCTCCACCCCCACTGCTCAGTGCTGGGTGCTCTGGTCTGGCCCCTGCTCCCAGGCCTGTAATATTGGTCTGAGTGAGTAAGGCCAGGAGAGGTGATGAGAAGGAAGTCAGAGGCCAGCAGGCATGGAAGGAGAGAGGTGGGGCTGCCATTGCTCAAACGCCACAAAATCTGGGTGTGTTTTATGACTGTGTCTGGATTAACAAATCTTCTGTTCTTTGTGACCATTCCAGAGACTCACCCTCCTACTTCCTGGTCATTACACTTTCTTTCCCTGGTGTACTCTTTTTATGGCCAGAGAATGGCTGTGCAAATAGCTGGCAATTCAATAAAGGTGACTTTTTATGGGACCGGGAACCTGGCAAACGTTAATGAGGGGCTGAGCACTTGTGAGTGCGGCATTAGGGAACAGGTGTACAGTGAACAGTGAGTCAGAAAACAAAATGCTGTTTGTCCAGTCCTGACCGTGGAGGGTGCAGAAATCATTCTGGAAGGTGGATGTAGTTCAGAGGCCTCAGAAGTCTTAGGGCATCCTCTGCCCAGATAGGGAGGAGGCTGAGGTTAAATTATGGACTTGGGACATGTTAGGTACATCACTTAATTTCTCT